ACAAATTTTTGTTGTGTCACAAAATTATAGCTAAGTAAAGGAGAGGATAGAAAGATGTGTCAGGTCACAGAAGGAATGAAAACAAAGAGACAAATAAGACATGGGATTTGTCTGGGGTTCCCTCCATGGGGTTCCCTCCTTGGTGCCAGGTACTGACCACTGTGAATTCAGAGATCTCCCTCAGGATTAGGCTTGTGATTTGTTTTTCTGTTGGGGATGTCATTCAGGTACTGTACAATTGTGAAGCTGTACTGACAAGCTGTGCTTTAAATCTTACAGTGCTGCTGATTTCCAGTTTGCTGGGTAAAAAGCATCTAAGATTTTGTTCTTCGTTTCAATCATGATTATGGCACATAGGGAGTTGATGGTCCTTCTGTGGCTAGTTCCTCACAAAGGTTACTGGGTTTTATGTATGTCTTGTGTTTCATGTATATCAGCCACCTGTTTGGAAACAGCTTATAGAAAAGTTAATATGAAAGATAACTGCAGCAATTTAAAAAAATACTGGATAAAAATTAATTGGAAAAGTGAACTGTAATAATCTCCTTTAGATTTTTGCAATGGGCAGAACAAATTACTTAAAACTGATAATGTTTTTTGTCAGAGAGGCAGTACATCACTCGGAAGACAAGCGTCCACATGCCTTTAAGAGTCAGAAGGGTGGCCCTGGACAGTTCTTTGCCTCTTTCTTTAAGGACTAAGCCTTGCAAGATGTTTATACTCCAGCTGCCTGCTTTTACAGTCTGCCACACTTTTCTCCTACATGATTCAAAAAGGAGAGAAATGTCAGATTGTAATGCTCAGCTCAACCTTTCTAGAGGGATGAAAGTTTGCTCCTTTGAAGGCCATTAGTATTGCCAAAGATTACTTATTGAATGCTTATCTCTTATGGACCATCCCTGTAAGTCTCAGAGCTGTCTATACCTTCACCACTGCCAAAAATCGCAAGCTGAAGACGACAGAGAGCCTTCCTTGAAGGAAGCTCTAGCCCTGGGATTCATGTGATTAAGCTGGATTCTGGTTTTCCATTGAAAAAGCAAGTTTCCAGCTGCTGTGACTGCAAAGAAACGGCTGAAAGTGTGATCCTGAAGTATGCAAAGCAAGAGAAGCAAATATAAAGAATATGAGTTTTTTTTTTCATTTAGTCCTATGTTTTGAACTACTATTCCTTTCTCCAGGAGGCTGACTCATTCTTTTGAATGGATCGTGCTGGCAATACTGTACTTTTTCGTTCCCCAAGGGATAACTTCAAAGCTTTCCTTTCAAAACCACTTTGCCCAGTTTAGACATCTCTTAGAAAAACTAAATGAGAAGGAATTTGTAAGAAAAATTAATGATCTGCTACATAAATTTTTCACACGGATGGAGTGGGTTTGTAGAATTACAGAATTGCAGTGACTAATAATAGTAATAAAGTATCTGATTGTATTATGTGGTTAAAGATAGTCATAATACTGTCATTGTCTTTGCCGTTTTCCCACTCCTTGCTGTGACATCAGCCCATCCTAGACCATCACATCCTGCTCATGGCTGTTCCTTTGTTGATAAATAATGAGTCATTATACGCTCCGCTTTGTGCCTCCTACAGATGTATTGCCCAATTTTCCTCTCTCCAGAATGAAATCCTCCTTTGCAAGGATTTAGTATGCCTTTAAAACAGCAAAGTTTATCTGGTGACGTACCTTCAGCAGAAGGAGGAATGAATGAAATGAGGCTCTTTCTGGATGTTTGGTACCTGGAGCAGACTCACCTACTGTAAATGCTGTATTTTTATTAATGGCAAAACCCCACTAACACTTTCTACTGATGACACAATCCACTGCATTCTGAAACCATGATTTCTATGGATTGCCCCTGCAGGGCACATTTGATCCAAAACCAGGACAGACCTGGAGATCCTTGAGCCACACAGGCTTCACAACTCTGCACAAAATATTTGGATGCTTACATGTAAACAGATAGCACAGAAGTTACATGTTTTCTCCACAAACACTGAACTGATTTAGTAATACTGAAATCAAAACTTCTTGTTCTCCAGCATGCAGCTACCTATGTACTCAGGAAGCTCTCCAAAAAAAAAAAAAAAAAAAGGATAACAAAAGGCATTAGAAAGTGCAAGAAATAATTGTAATGTTTTCCAAAAGACAAAAATACTTACGCACCCTTTGCCTTTGCTCTGACATGGAGAACACTGAAGTACCATGAGCAGCCTAGCACTCTAAATAGTTGTTTTGCATAGTTCGGAGGTAGTTGTTTTCTTTCATTTTAATTTAAAAGTATGATCAAGCATGTGGCATAGCAAACTTCTAGCTCTGCAAACCTGCTGAACTAATATGAATTTCTTATCAACAGCCAATGTGCAATCCAGTATGCCTGCTTTGTACAGATGAGTTGACGGGGGGAAGAGCCAAAGGTATAACAGAGCCTCAATGAGGCAAGCCATACGATGCATTTAGGTTTCCTTCCTCCATTTTAATCGCTTATTTTGCAACTCACCCCTGCAAAGCATGAGAGATCAGGTGGCCAGGCAGTGGCAGAGAGAGTATTCATGGATAAAGGAGGGACAGCTGAAAACCAGACAAAACATAACATCCCTGGGGCTGCTTTCTGGATGGATGACCTTCAATCACATCTGGTCACATCTCTGCCACCATGCCCTTTCTTTACTTTCTCTAGGTCTAGGGCCCCAAACCCCAGCCATCAGCTGCCAGACATAAGCTACACATAGGCAAGGTTCTGATTTGGAACAAACCTTTGGCCAAAATCTTGGCTGTAAGTCTTGCTCTGCTGGTGACCTGCTGTGGGGATGCAGCTGTGTCCCTCAACAGCTGTCCACCCCCCCTTCTCTGTCTGTCAGTGCACAGGTGTAATCACCATCCCATGAGACAACAGTGATACAGTCAACTGCATCAGTGTGCTGCTATCAATCAATATCTGCACTTGCAAAATGTTGCATACTGGTGTTCAGGGGTAGTGTATTGATGCTCATCGCCTTGCTGGCAGAGCCAGTGTTGTGCTGAGTGTGCCCTGCCCCATGGCCTGGCCTGCAGAGACTTTTCATGTGTATCTCTTTTCCTTTAGGCCTAAAGTGATCTAGGAAAGTCCCACCTTGAATGTCTCTCAGAAGGATCCTGTGTGAAGCTTTCTCAGCCTTGCCCATTCACCACAAGCTGGGTTGGGACAAGTGCCACGATGCCACTCTCATGGTATCTCTTATGTTTTGATTGCAACAAACCAGTGTATTTCATTGCAAGCCAACTCTGTTGGCTGCTTGTGTGCCTGTTCCTTTCTTCCTCGTATCGGTCTCCTCTGAGTTTCCGGAGGCTGTGGGCACTGCAAAATGCTGCTCATGGTGCCCCAAGGATGGCAGACTAACACAAGGCACCCTGGGCTTCCCAGCCCCATTCAAGAGTCTTTCTTGTGCAGAAAAGGGAGTGGGTTTGGGCAATCAGAGTCTTGTCCCTGCAGCTGTTCACAGGAGATCAATCAACTGCCCATTTGCTGCCTCTCTCTCTGTTCCTTCTGATGTATTTTTGGGTGGAGGGACTGAAAATTTGATTTGTTAAACAGTTTTTTAAAAAAGGGTAAATGATAATTATAAAATTCCACAAGTCCTTTTTTTTTCCATGATAAATTTTATGTAGCTGGCAGTTAAAATAAGTGATTACCCCATAAATACTATTTTAATAGCCTAGTCAACCGTGTAGTCTCTGCTGTTCTGAGATTTTTATCTTGGAAAATGGAGGGAAAAAATCCTTTCCTGTGGATTTATGTTGCTGTAGCGGTGGCTGCTGCTGCTTGTTACTTGCTGAGTAATTTGAGGGGAATGTATTCTTCTAGCTCAAGCAGCCACAGATGACTGAATATGGATGCTGGTGGGGGGCAGCCACCCTGTGCCGGCAATGCCAGATATGTCCTGGCTGGTTGTGGCCCAGGCCAGTGTGTCAACTGCTCCAGCTGATGCTTTTTGGATAACAACCGCGTATTTTCCAAATCCAGTCACTCCTGCACACAAGCATCATCCTCCCCCACCAGCAGCAGCTGGGAAGGCCAGGACCCTGACAATATCCTTGTCGTTAAGTTGGATAGAGTTGGGTTTGCTGGATGGACTATTCATTGGACAAGGATTTGGCTGGATGGCTGCATCCAAAGGGTTGCTGTTAATGGCTCAATGTCTAAATGTTACTCCCAGTAACAAGGCTATGTTTCTCAGGGGTCCTTGTCGAGATTGGTACTGTTCAGTGTCTCTATTAATGCAATGGACAGTGGTGTTGAGTGCTCCCTCAGCAAGTCTGTGGATGACAAGCAAGCCAGGCGGTGCAGTGGATTTGCTTAAGGGTAGAGATTACATCCAGAGGAACTTTGACAGGCTGGAGGAGTGGGCCCATGTCAAACTCAGGAAGTTCAACCAAGCCGAGAAAGACCATTTTGACCCCTTTCCATACATAAAAGGGACTTGCAAGAAAGATGGAGACCTGTAATGACAAGGGGCAACAGTGTTAAGATGAAAGAGGTTGCGCTTTAGGTTGCGTGTAAGGAAAAAATGCCTCATTAATGTAGGTGATGAGGCTCTGGCACAGGTTGCCCAGAGAAGCTGTGGCTGCCCCATCCCTGGCAGCGTTCAAGGCCAGGTTGGACGTGGCACTGAGCAACCTGGTCTAGTGGAAGGTGTACCTGCCCATGGCAGGGGGATTGGAACTGCATGAGCTTTAAGGTCCCTTCCAACCTAAACCCTCCAGTGAGGGGGCCTGGGGTGCCCTCAGATGTCAATCAAAATACGATTAAAAGGCAAAACACACACACACACACACAGAGAAAACCCTCGGGGCCGTGGCGCCCGCCGCCCGCTGCCGCCGCGGGGCACCTGCCCTCGCCCGGATCAACCCTGCCCTCCCCCGGGCTGCCTTCCTCGGCCGCCGCCCTGCGCTGGGGCCGGGCCGGCAGCGCTGCCGCCGGGGTGCCGCGGGCGGGGCGGCGGCAGGGGGCGCTGCGGCCCCGCCGTTGCGGCGGCGCGGGGGTGGCGGGAGCGTTGATCCTAATTGGAGCCGACGCGCGGCTCCTCCATAATTCTCCGACATCCCCCCGCCGGCTCATAATGCCTGGGCGGGCGCTGCCGCCGGCCCCGCGGGGGAGCCGCCGCAGCAGCCAGGCAGGTGTTGCCGCCAGGCGGGTAGCATCGCTTCCCCGCCTCCCCGCCGCGGGGGGCCCGGCGGCCATGTTGTCCCCTGGCGCGGCGTCGCGGCCCCCGGCGTGACGAAGCAGAAAGGTGCGGGGGAGACACCCGCCTTCTCCGGGGGTTCATAATTAAGCGTTAAAAGTTCATGTATATCTTTAATTGGAGTGCCTAGTGTAGGTGCTGTGCGAGCGTTGGTGGCGCTCCCGTACAGGCGAGTGATGGCGGAGCTGCCTGGCGCGGAGCTCCCGCTCCCCCTCCACAGCCCGGCGTCCCCGCGTTCCCCTCGCGTTTCCCCGGTGACACGGGGAGCGCCTCACCCGCCATGGTGCTGCCCTGCCATGGAGGTGGCCCTTGTCCCCAGCGAGGGGCCACAGCACCCGGGGATGTCCAGCGGTTGGACAGAGAGCACCACAGGAGCCTTCCTTAAACAAACTAAAGGCTGTTTGTGCCGCGCTGGGTGCCTCACAGACCAGTCGTGCTCCTATGCTGTTCTGAAGTTAGTATTTTCCTGGAGAGACAGGGCTGGGTGGTGGTTGAGGAAAATGTACCAAGTGAGTGGGTCAGGCCATAGACCCGCGTTTGTGTAGGTACCTGTACTTCTAGTGATAACACAAGTTACTTCTCGGGTTCTTGGAGCTTTTCCTTTGGTGTCGGCGAGGAGCTGCAAAGTTCAGCATGGCTACAGGTCAGTAGGAGAAGTTGCCAAGTGCCCTCTCTTCACTCTCATCAGATCCATCCAGGGGCCTGTCTAAGAGGCAGTTTTCTGCTTTATGCACTCCCTGAGCACAGGGTATATGTTGGTTTTGCACCTGGCTTGTGGCAGGGCCCCTGGACCTTGCACAGTTCATGTGTCAGGGGCAATGCAATGTGTGAGTGTGTCTGGGGAGATGGGACAGAGATACTGAGGCCTAATGGCTCGCAGTCCTGCTGATCCAGGCTGGTATCAGATGAGTACTATCTGTCTCTGTATTCATGTAGGTACTCATGTTTTCCTCTCCGTCTGAGCACACAGATTAGCCTTGCTAGGGACCTGCATGCTTCTGCAGGTTTACCAGAAGTAGGAATATGAATTGTTCAAATTTAGTCTCAAAGGTTTGGACTCTTCAGGTTGTTTCCACCTTTGTTTTAAACAGATGTAAATCTACAGTTAACTCTGCTGAAGGAAGAGTTACACAGCACAAACCCATTGTGCGTATCTGTGAACAGATACAGCTGATGGTTGGAGAAGTAAAATAATGAAGTACTGGTGATTAAGGCTGGCACCTTACTTTTTAAGTCATAATAAGCAGAGTTTCTAAGAAGCCTATGTCCTAGCTCTTCCTAGCTCTTGCAAGTTCTAGTCTCTAGCTGAACACGGCTGAGAAGGCAGGGAGGTTCCCTGAAACCTGTGTGACACGTAATGTATATACGGGATTTAATGATGTCTTAGAGGCAGTGCCTGCAGTCTGATCTTTAGATGCAGATACACTGCAAGAAGTGTTACAGACATGGATTGGCTTCACAGGGATCTGCCTTGGCATGTCTCTTCATGTGTGCCATAAACTATTAAAGCGAGATTAATGGACATATTCTTCTGCAGCTTTGTTCTCTCAGGGCAGATTTATATCCCTAGGTGGGTCCTGTAAGCACTGATGCCATACATTACACCTTCTGCTGATTGCTAGTGCTGTAGTGTAACATGTAAAGGGCTCTTTCAGTCCTTTACAACAGGTAGTACTGCCATTTTCGACAGGACTGGGCAGCTCTACTGCCCAGGATATTGCTGTGTATTATCAGGATTGATGAAGGCTTCTCATGTCCTTTCACTTTAGCATGCTCCCTAATCCCAGAAAATAGCTGTGTACTGAACTGGGACAATGCTTCTCTGACCTTTACATGAGCTTGGAACAAGCACGAGGAGAAACTCTTTACCTAGTCTGCTTGTCTTTTTTCTTCCGCATTTGGACTTGAGGTAAACCTGGCTTCTAAGAATACCCCATTCTCAAATATTTCTGGTTTTCTTCTTGTGGCCACCTAGAAAAGACTGCTTATGCTCTAAAGAGGTTTTCTTTACAGGCGTTTCTAGCTATTTTCTGTATTTAAATAGCTTCTACGTTTCTTCATGTTGAGTTTCTTCCCCATGTAACACCTGCACGCTTTCTTCTCTGGTATCTCACAGTCACCTGGAACGGAAAGCAAGGATGTATTTATTTATCTTTGCTGTTACGCTGTCAGAGAACATCCTGTAATCCACAGCAAGAATTTTATTTTCCCTTTTTGTGTGTTTCCTATTGGACCTTCACTTGTGCTCCCAGCCTGTGCACATTTTAATATTTTTTTAGCTATTCTCTTTTCAAAATCCCCCGCATTTACCTTCTGGAGTTCCTTTTGAATTTCTTCTTTTTCATTCTGTGGCTGTTTGAAGTCTTGGTTCTGCTTTGTCATTGTGTCTTCCAGCTTCTTCATGTTGGCTGTCACGTTCCTCTCCACAGCTTCACTTTTTAGCCATTCCTTTCCTGAGCAAAGCTGCTGGTAAACTTTGAAATCAGAGCTTGCTGTCTCTTCTAGTGGTACTTCCAGAGTGTTCAGGTTGCCCATGCTCTATAGCCTCTTCAGTTTGGAGCTCAGTATTACCTGGAGTGTGTCACTGCATGGCGAAAGGTTTTTACTCTTCCTTTGAATGTTTGCACTTGCAAATGCTGAACGAGCTGAGAGTCATCCTGGGAATGGTTCATATTCTGTAATGTTACTGTTCAGGGGGATGGGCTCATACTCCTCTAACGCATACACAAGTTTTTTGCACAGGTTTCTGTGTTTGGTAAGTGGGTCTTTCTGTAGCTTTAATAATCTGTCTCTTAAAGCCTTGGCTGTCTAGGGAGTGTCTGTGAAAATGGGTTAATAAACAGTTACTTGCATTGTGGTCTTCTGATCCAAGGCAGCAAAGTCTTTTGTGCATGCTAGTTGGTAGAATATAGCATAAGTATTGACCAGTGCCTTGTTGTGCATGTATTATGGGTCTGGAAGAAGGAGGTTTAAGCAAGCACTTACCCGTCTCCTACCATCTTCAGCAGTCACTTACATAAAGTCTGGGGGACTGGACTTAATGACTTGAGACTGATGTTGAAACTTCTCAATATTTCCCACTTTTGTCATTCTGAGCAAATTTTGTTCCAGTTTTGGCATATATACACATATATACCTGTTTCCTCTACTAAATGGAATTGCTCATATTTACCAGCGGCAGTTCTACAGACATCCTATTTTTTTCCTTTTTATCCATCTGAGCAAGTTGCATTCTAATTTTGGTGTATGTGCTTATGTAGCAGAGGTTATCTTTTCGTATTTACCAAAGTCAGTTCAGCTGCAGAAGCTCCTGAATCCAATTGGACTTGTTCTGTGGAAATAGAGGAGCCAGCTACCAACCCAAACAAAATCCTTACAGAGCTGTACGATAACCGATAAAAAGAGTGGTTCCAAGCGTGCTCACTGCCAGCCACACATGTAAGTACCAAGCTACATAAGCTTGTGGGAATGTGCTGGTAGAATCTGGTAAATGAACGGTATACCTTTCATTTAACATACGTACTGCAGTAGAAGCAAAACAAAGCCCCAAACTGTGTCTGCGGTTTTACTTACAGGAGAGCAAAAAAAAAAGGGGTCAGTGCTTGCAGTGCATAAGTGAGGTTGCTAGTCTGTCCTTCAAAGGTCATAGAAATAGAATACTTTGGTTTGGAAGGGACCATCAAAGGTCATTCAGTGCAACCCCCTGCTTTTCTTGCTTCATGGGAAAAAATTTGCCAGTCACATTTTTTGATCCATAGTGATTGAGTACATGAGTACATCAGTTTTCTTACTTGAAAACTTGGTTATTAAACAAAAGTCGGTTACTGGATCTCTCTAGTTCAGACTGTACAATTCTTAGAGCTAGACGTCAGCAAAGTGTTTTTAAGTAGTAGGTTTGCTGAACAAAACAGATTTTCCAGGGAGACTAGATCTACTGTGGTGTGACAGGAAATTTAACAAAGGTTTATTACACCACCCTTCCCCCTGCTCCCCCCCCCCGCTAAACAAATTAAAGGTTTAAAAAAATGTTCTTTTAAAGAGGATTTGCTACTTTCAAGACAAACATTTCCTTTTTTTTTTTTTTTTTTCCACTTAGCCAGACCTCTGTCCTTAGCTTTTATTTCAAGTAGATTCAACTGATTTTTTTCTGCCCATAATTGTTTTTTGTTTGGCCATTGAACCATATAATCCAGTATTTGCACAGCCCTCCCTGGAGCTGCACAAAGAGGTAATGCTGTCATTATGACAGGTAGACCTCCAGAGATTACATGGAAGCGTGGGGTCTCCTTGCAGAAGCTCCCTGGCCTTTAAATGTTCACTCTCAGATATTCAGGATTTCCCTGCAGACTTCTGGACTGTGTTATATTAGAGGGTGTTGAAGTGTGAGGGGGTCTACGCTTTCCCGAAGGAGGGCAGAGGAAAAATGGTATTCAGCAACAGGGCATGGAGTTCCTGGACTGTACATGAGAGTTTTTGCCTGAGGGAAAGATAAGGCTTCTAGTGCTAAATGGTAGGATTTACTCCTGTGTGCGTTTGAAATTTATTTTTTTTTTAGTGTGTGGGTTTTTGTTGTTCTGAAAACATGGTGACATGTATACCTCTTTCTTGCTATTGGTTCTTGCTTAGGTCAAGTGTACTTTGTTCTGTTTGTACAAAAATATTTGTTCGTAATTAAACTTGCTTTCTTCTGTTTGCACCAAAACATCTTGGGCTCATGAAAACTGCCTGACCAGTGAAGCTCTGAGCTCATATGGACTTGCAGATCAGTCACTTTCCATGTGGAAAGTCTTAAGTTTCTCCTGCCTGGGTTACATGGCTGGTAATATACTAAGAAAATGCTCACTGTTCCAAGCAGCTGTAGGTTTTGTGCTTGTGCAACCTGTTTGTACAACTACTGTAAGCCACCAAAGTCTCCACCCAAATCTGCCACAGTTGCT